TCAAGACAGTGCCCTCTAGTATAGAGTCCATTTTGGGAAGCAGCTGCAGACCTTGGGCCTCGGCATCGGCAAGGCCATATATATATATATATATATATATATAGACATGTCTACTCTCTCTCTCTCTCTCTCTATATATATATATACATATACATCGCGAAAGCCGCAGAATCCCCAACCGTGTGGCACAGGTTGGGCTCGGCAGAGATGGCGAAGCAATGCTTTTCTCGCGGTGAGCTTTGTGCACTGCAGCAGTCTCTGCTGCAGAGTTCGCTTCCCCCTCCTGGGGATTGGCTGGACTTTGAGGCGGAGGCGGTGCGAGAAGCACTCTACTGGGCGATGAAGAGTGCTGATGAGAATCGCGACAAGTCCGCTCGCGTCATAGCAGCACTGTGTCTCTTAAGATTCCAGTGGGAGGACCTTCTTAAGGAAACCGGAGCGGATCATGGCCAAATGTACAACGGATACAGCTATGTGCCGGCAGAGCCTGAGTATCCGCTGCTCACAGAGCAGGAGCGGGTCAGGGCGCTCACGGCGGAGTGGAGCCACAGCCGAGTCGACCAGCAGGTTCGCGAGTTGCGACATGCTCTGAGAATTATCCCCGCTTATTTCGGTTCCAACTTGAACCGAGAGTGGGAGAGCTACTTCGAAGCTGCTACGGAGCAGCTTCAGATCACGATGATGCTGCTGGAAATCGTGCACAACAGAGACTATAGACTGCTTGAAGGCCTCGAAATGGAGGAGAAGAGTTAGTGCTCCTGCTAGCTCTCCGGAGAGACTCCTTCTGCTGATCTTGGCCTTGCAAAACGTCCGGCCGGAGGCGTAGGTGATCGTAGGTGTTTGTAGGTGGTCACTCTGGGCCACCTGGCTAAGCAGGTGGCGTAGGTGGCGTAGGTGGTCTTATTCCCTTACCTTTCCATGGATCTGGAGGCGTAGGTGGTGTAGGTGGCCTGCTTTTCCTTACTTCTCAGGTCGGGCCAGGCGTAGGTGGTGTAGGTGGCGACCCTGGCTTTAGGCCTTCAACATGGGGGCCTGGCGTAGGTGATTGTAGGTGGTACTCTGCGGCTAAGCTGCCGGCAGGAGCTTTTCTGGAATCGCTGCTGTCTGTTTCTTTGTGGATTTAGGAAACAGAAGTAGAGCTGCAGACTCGTGATTTCTTGGCCTCCGCAGCTACCTACTTTCAGCTTCTAGTTTGCCCCTCTCCTCCTAGCTTGCCCAGACCGCAGCCATGGTTGCCACCTTCGAGGACGCTCAAGGCGAAAGCCTCGAAAGCCAGACCCAGCCCTTGCAGGACACGGCAGCGGAGCCGCAAGCTTGTGTACTCTGCCAGAAGACCTTCGCGGCCCAAGACCTGACCGGGCGGTGGACAAGCAAGAAGTGCAAGACCTGTGCCGCTCTGGAGATGAAGTTGTGGCGGCAGCTCGGGTCCTTCGAGCCATGGAAGAATACCACCGCGGCAGAGAAGGCGGAGTTCTACAAGGGCTCAGGCGACTACAAAGACTGGCCGACGCTCGAAGCTCGTCTCACGGACGTCCTCACGTCCCGTGCCGTTCGCTTCCAGAAGGAGTGTGAGAAAGGTGAGTACTTGCCGGCTACGGTGTACTTGGCGAAGGGCTTTACCCAAGAGCACATCGACAGTTGCGATGATCGCCGCGAGCATCCCCACCTCGGCGAGACTATCAGAATCCCGATTCAGTCTCGCAGCACCGGCGAGATCAGGGAGTCGATTCAGGAGGAGATCAACAAGAGGGTCAAGGACGTTCGCAAGAAGAAGGGGGACCCGACCACTAAAGACTGGGACCTACCGTCGCACACCTCCAAGGAGAGTCAGACAGCAAAAGCGGAGACAGCCGCCAAGAAAGCGGCGGTGAAGGCGAAGAAGCAAGCTGTAGCCGTGGCACAGTCCTCCTTGGCCTCGGTAACCTCACTGTGGTGCTCCGTCAGCACCTGGGAAGGGAAGGAGACCGACCCGGAGCTGCTCGCCAAGCTGAAGGACCAGAAATGCAAGCTGGGCACGTGGAAGCTTTCGGCCGAGCAGGTCCTCGCGAAGAAGGACACCGAGGAGGTTGTCCCCCTTGCCTTTTCCAAGAGCGACCTGAAGACCTTGAGCAAGGAAGTCCAGGACGTGCTGGGGGACTGCAAGCAGGCCCAGAAGGAGAAGAGCAGGTTGAAAAAGGCCGCGAAGGAAGCGAAGCCGGCAGCGACGGAGGCAGAGAAGCCGCCTGCCCTAAAGAGACGCAGGGTCAACAAGGGCAGCTGAGCCGTCACCGAAGTAGGAGGTTTCACGTGATCCTCCGCCCAGGTAGCATTACCTAGAGCATCGTTTGATACATTTATTTCCGCTCGCAAATAAATCTGCACGTTCAGGTTGTCGATTCAGCGTACAATTCAAAGAAGCGCACGCAGTTCTGGAAAACTGCACGTGGTGATGCTGTAGTTCTTCGAAACTGCACGTGTAGGTTTGGAGCTTACGGCTTATGGTGTAGCGGTGGGTACCTTATAGGGGATATAAACCTATATAGATTTCGTGTTTTGGGACCGGGGATCCTGCCAAGCTCAGATCATGCTGTCTGCACAACAATTATGGGTTCCTTTTCACGCCGATCAGCCGAACACCTCCATCCACACACGCCTGTACTGCATGAGTGCTCGTGAAATCGTGCGACTTGTTGTCGTAAAACTGTGAGTACGGCGCGAGATGCGACTGCAGCGACCCACATAGTCTTCGTCAGCCCAGCAGGACCAGCCTTATGCTAGCTAGCTTTCGAAAAATATGGATACGTGTAAAATCTACCGGGAAGATGACGGCACGAGTGCTAGATACCAAATATATAGCACTACCCACTGCAATATAGCATCGCTCCTCATCCGGGATTCAGGAATTAGGGCTTATACGACTAGCTTGCTAGGGATTAAATCGATAAACCCCTAATTGGTTGCTGAAATGATTGCAAGTTGCAAAGTGGATTGCAAATGTGCTCAGCTTCGCCTTGAAGCTGGTGGGATATATCCAGCCTGGACTGCAAAGGGTGTACTATAAATTACGAATCTTTTACATAGATAGAAGTAATCTCAAGAAACACAATCGAGAGTATACTTTGTAAGACCCAGCCACACCAGATGCAACTGCATATGGCATTTTGGTCGCAATCGGAACAGAGGCATGTGCAGGCTAGCAGTTTTTGCAGCCAGTGAACCATAGCCAGCCTGAGTTTCTTGTTGGGCTTAGAGTTCTGGGCCACGAGAGTCGTTTGTCAGGTTGGGGCACTGACAATATAGAATTGGTGGGAGTGTCGGGGCCTACATACACAACACACATACACACAGCGTGCTGATCACCACCTGGCATCCATCATCGCCCACCCGGCTTCGGCGGCAACTCGGGCAGCATGTGGTGGCATCCAAATACCGAACGAGTACAGGGTCCGCCAGTGCACTTCGATGGCATTAACAGTCCATCGCAGTAGCTCGAACAGTTCGTGAAAGCTTGCCTTCGAAACCCACATTCAGCAGCCTATACTATACCCACCCCAGACCAACCACTAGGTACGAGATCCGACATTCTGTACTTAAATATAGAACAGGGCACATCGATGGTGGATACATCCACCCGCGAAAGTACATGGTGAATCCACGTACAAAGAACAGCTGTGTCATGGCCCTTGCCCGCTCCAGTCGGATACTGGGTAAGCCTGGAGGCAGTCTTGATCGCTGAGCTGGATATCATGATTGTATATATAATAGCATTCAGAAAAAAGGGCTTACGATCATATGTTAACATAGTATAATAATATTCATATATACATATATATATATGTATATATATATATATATTATACATATATATATATATATATGTATATATATATATGTATATATATATACATATATATATATATATATATGTACTAGGGCTGGTACTTGTAACGATCTGTTAAGGAATTCGGTTCGAGTTTTACATGTGTAGCTAGCTAGTCCTTCACTTCACTATAAACATTCTACAGAACTGCAGGCAAGCCACTTCTTCACCTTGAAAGTCTTCAAAGTAAAGCGTGTCAAGCTCGTACTTTTGCCACTGGCTTTGCAAAACGATCGGAACTTCTGGAAAGCACTATCCAGATGCAATTGAATTGACCTGAAATTTCCCCACACACCCATGTGCATCAGTAGAATCACTGAGGAAGCCACCATGTTCTTCCCCCACCCGATGCTGTATGTGTGCATCGGATCCGCCTTGATCCAGCGAGCCCCGTCAAAATTTGGCAGCAGTCGTAGTGGGGATAGTGGACGGATTTTGAATGGGTCACTCGGCTCGTAGGCTTTCGGAAGTGTTCTTGTCGGGTTGGAGGTTGAAAGGTCCCACCATTCCTTAAATATCTAGAGGCAGGGCAACTTTGGAAGCAACAAGTAATGAGCCACCGGTTGGACAATCAAGCGAAATAAAATTAACTAGTTAACTATAGAATGAAACACATGCAGGCACTGTCGAATCGCATTGATGGCATACCCGCGTGCTGGTCGGGCCCGTCAACATGTGAAGGGCCTTCCTTAGAAAAGGCCAGTCACCCTTGACCATCACCGGAATGAATCGCAGTACTGTATCGTTGCCCTGGCATCGGACCTGCTGGGTGTATACATATATCAAAATAATTCGTCGGCAATTTGCAACCCGTCCTAGCTCGATCTAACTCACTAGCTTGTTCCCGGCACCCATTATATTAAGCCATACCCCACCCACCTTGAGTCCTTCATGGTACAAGCTCAGCAAATCATTTGTGATTTCGGTATGTATTGCATCCAGCGTCTTGTCCCCGACGTACACCTCACTCGGGATGACGGTGGCCAGTAGCCGAGTCGAGAACGAATGCCTCGAGAGCGATAGGCTCTAAGTTAAGGCTATAAACCTAGGACCTATAATGTACAATCTACTGATATTATATATAGTATAAAATTTGGAACCCGGTATAACACCCTATAATAGTGAGCCATGTACCGGAATCCTATACAACCCGAACTTGCTTTAAGGGCTCCCTGGGGCAGGGCTTTAAGGGCTCAAGTGTTAATTTGTTCTGATGGCACCCACTTGAGTTGAGGTGGCTCATTCCTCGATAGGACACCAGGGGCTGGTACCTCAGGCACATGATGGGGCGCTTGAGCTTGCCGCGACCTTCATCACCGTGGTAACCATATGGTATACAATACCCTAAGTCGACACCCTCCTCCTGATAGATGTCCAACTCGGGACGTACTTGCTCAAAACGCTGCCAAAACCGTTTGAACATCCTGCGGAAAGGTTCAGCACCCTCTGATAGACGATGGCCTCCCAATAGTAGTGCTCCCTCTAGGGGACCGTCCAAAATGTGCCGCGCCCATTGTGATAGCTTCAGAATAGGAAAGTTGACGTTTTGGATGCGAATCTTTCCAGAAAGAATCAGTACTGGGGTTTCAGCCGAGTCCACAGGTATCGGAAGAGTTTTACCAGATCTGTGTATCAAGTAATGTAAGTTTCGGCATTCGTTGCGCTTGTTCCGCCCTGCTTGTGCCATCAGTGCCAGGGCCGGGTCATGGACACCTGAAGTAATAAGGGTATATGTATACAACCGTGGACAGCTAGTTACACCGTGTATATAGTTTTAGCATTCTAGGATCCAGCTGGGCTTACATTATCTTGCTATTCGGTTTCTGGAATTAGCTCTAGCAGAAACGAAACATAGTATACTGATCACAAAAAGATGCCATGTTTCTTCAGCTTCTGATTGGCAACATGGGCCAAACGAGTCACTCGCTTGGCACTTTCGGCCTAGGCCACGAAAGCTGAAACACAAGTAGACCACAGCCACTAGGCACAACCCCAATATGCAGTCTAGCGACCCCCTGCTCAAAGCCAACAAAAAGCTCGTATGCGAGGTCGTCCGAGTCGGTGCCGTCATCGTCTCCTGGTGCAAGGACAGATGGGCTTCGCTAGGAAATATTATGTTAATTGTTGTATATTATAATGATAGGACTAGAATCGTACTTCGTACACTGCAAACGATCTGTCCTCCTGTTGCCTCTTCCAGCAAACCTGCGGGATTAGCAGTCTCTACAGAGTTCGATGCTTGTTTGCATGGGGGACACTCAAGGCACATGGTTGATTGAATGTGCATGCAATCAAGAGTTCTTTCTCCGGCAGGCACTCTTTCCCATCCCCGGTAATTTGCGTGGCATTTCCACACATGTTTGACGAAATGCAGAGAGGCTCCACTGCAACTGCTGAGGCATGCATCTTCTGGCATATGTAGCTAAACAGCAGCTAGGACCATGATGTGATAACACGTGCAATTGCATGCACCACGTTGCTACGGCAGCCAAAAAGTCCTATCAGTAGCAGACGATCCCTTTAGGACACCACTATCTTGCCCTATGCAGCATCCTTCGGGGCTTTGCCCTTCTTGTCCTTCTTAGACTTGGCCTTCTCCTTCTTCTCCTTCTTCTCCTTTTTCTCTGCCTTGGGCTTCCCCTTGGAGGAAGGCTTCCCGCCGCCACTGCCACCGGCCTTCGACGGCGTGCGCTTGGCGGCCGTCCTTGACAAGATGCTTGGGCACATGCTGCCTGGTAAGCTTCGGGCTAGATGACCACATAGCACAATATTTAAATTAAAGCTCCGGAGACATACAGCTACCTTTCACTCTGTGGCATGCAACGACATCGGTACACATGTACAGATTGCACAATACCAAGTGGACTTGATTGGCCCTCACCTTCGAAGTATCATCATCCTTTCTCGGAATCATTCATCACCTACATCCATAGGGCTAAGTGGGGCTATTCAGATAGTACATTGTCGATTCAAGACCGTGGGTAGTAAACCATTCAACAGCAACAAAAGTCAAAAGGGCCTTGTAGTTTAAATAGTGCAGTTATCAATTTCTACAGAAGACAAGGTAGTAAAAGTAGAAGTAATAATAGGGCGGTTGTGGTAGTGGCACCGGTAGCAGGTAATCCAGCAGCAGCAGTAGCAGTAAGTGGGATGAGGTGTAGGAGCGGGATTGAGGAGCAGGAGTAGTAGTCGACTAGTAGTGACAGTATAATAGTGGTAGAGCAGTAGCAGTAGCAGTAGTGGTAGTGGTAGTAGAAGTAGAAGAAGTAGTAGTAGTAGTAGTAGTAGTAGTAGTAGTAGTAGTAGTAGTAGTAGTAGTAGTAGTAGTAGTAGTGGCTGTACAAGGAACAGTTGCTGTTGTTGTGACAGTAGTGGTACTGGACACCTGCGGCACACACCACACTACTATCCCCCAAACCCGATACCCCTACCCTATGTGAACTTAAAATTAGCCCACGACAAAAATTTGTGACAGACTTCGGGGGCCTGGGGTTTAAGACGGGGAGGCATTCGATCAAAATATCAGGTCAGGCTCTTGGCACGTAGCACATAATTGCCCAGCAGAACATCCTGCTTCGTGATGTCAGCATACGTCCTCAACAGGTCGTCATTGAACGACCTGAGTTGCCAGCTTGGCACACTGTGGCGGTTATTGTACTCGTATATCTGCTACCCGGTCATTAAAATTTACTTAAGGGCAATTGAGGTTAGGGGCTGATCCGGCACGGTGTGGATGGCTTCTGCATACTTCTGTGCAAGCTTCTCGTAGTGCTTCTTCATGCTCGCCATAATCAACTCCATCTGCTCACGAAGCCTGTGTCGAGTGGGAGGCGGTGGTACTGTCGGGGTTGAGGGGCTCAGGGTGTATATGGGGACCCAGGTTTAGTTTTCATAGTAGTAGGTTGATATTGAACTGGCTCAGGATTTATAGGGATTTAGTTGAGGCAGCATCATTTAATTAGATAATATAATTTTAACTACATATAGTTCTAGCCATCGTGGAAACCATACTTCTCCCAGCCCCCAAAGCGCTAAGATCTTTCAGGGTTCCCTATAGTACAGTAGCATTGGAACTGCCACCTAGAAACGCCTTCGCTCGAGGATTGCTGCAATCCAATGTCTCCTGCATTCGATGGCACATGCGGTTCGCAGCTAACAGTGTAAAGGCGATACACAAAATCATGAGAAACCCGATCGAATCTCCAGCTGGTCTTCGCAGCTGTCAATCTTCCGGCCCAGCACCTCCACAAAGTTCGCCAAGATAGACACTGGCGACTCATTCTGAGACACGGTAGGGAAGATGATCCTCGGAACATAGGCAGTGTACGTGAATATAAATTAAGTAAACTGCATAGTATATGTGATTCGCTGGTACCGTTGCCTAAACCAAGGTACTTGAAAGAGGCGGACTGGCCAACCGTCACGGCTGCACCGCCGCTGCTGGATGCCGAGGCCCCCATATTCTGAAGGATCTCTTGGTCGGAAGCAGTGATCGACGGCATGTCCGCGCTGAGAAGGAACCCCGACTCATCCTGCAAGCAGCATATATAGATCTAGCCCATCAACTTTTTAGTTACTAGTTAACCGTATACAGGCACACCTGGCCTCAGCCTCAATCGTACCGCTGATGTCTGTCGATTGCCCACTCTCGTCCAGCAACTCAAAGGTTTCCGAGAGGACCAGGAAGGCCTCTTCCTCCCCATGTACACTGTTCACCCTAAGAAGCTTCTTATCCCCGGCCCAGCGGAAGGCATTGTCCACCATTTTCCTTGATCACATGCAGCAAATGTAGGCAGGAACTTTGGCACAAAAGACATCTATACAGTTTTGGAAATGCTGGCATATATAAGGCTCTTGGACCATCCTGCAATCGTGGTGAGGTAGCTCCGGGTGTACCATCCTCCCTTGCGTGAGTTGGCTTTGGAGCTTTTGCTGTACTTGCGTACCGCAATTTCCAGGCTCCCGAACGATCCACACGACTTGAACAAATCTCGGAGTTTTTCTCCTTATGGGGTCGGTAGAGCACATGACTTGATTTGGATAGTGATCGCACAGGACATGATGCAGACCAGAAGCTTCCAGCTTCCGTTTTGTACATTGCAAGGGCCTCCGCGGAGCACTTCAAAGACCCCGAAGATCTCGGGGTGAAATACCGCCGAAGCCTGATTCGATCATGCATGATTCGATAATCAGAACACCCTGCAACATACTGACCTGGATTCAAAATTGCTGCAAATGAGAAGCTTCCAGTATGTCGGGCTCTGGGATCTCTTCGAGCGCTTAGCAGATCTGCTATCAGAGCTGGAGGGGGCCTCAAACATTCAAACACATATGGGGCCAGACACATGCCTAGTGCACTAGCAGCAGCCTCGCCTCAGCAGAGCCATCAGGGCTAGGCAGTTCACGGCTTCGGCTGCGCTTGGTGCTAGGGGTTTTGGGCAAGTCTTTCCAACCCTTGGCTCCTGCAGGCACAGCTGCACAACTGCCTTGCATTGGGGCTGCTGGAGGAGGCGTGGCAGCAAGTACGTAATTGGGAGATCTGCTTGGCTTCACCACAGCACGGTGAGGGGTTCCATGGGGCGGGGTCTCACCCAGCTTCAGGGTTGCCGCATCTGGTTCAGATGGCTCCCTTTGAGCATCCTGGCTGCTTGCCCGGAAGCTGCCCAGGCTGGCAGGGTGTTTTCCGGCAATCGTAGGATTCTCCACCGGCTTCACCATGCAAGGGGCACCTCGTGACCCGGGCGCCGAAACTAAATATTAAGCTTCATCAAGTACGGGAAACCCAAGTTAAACCCCGGGCCTCATGAATATTCAATACCCCCGCAAAGTCCAAAGCCGAAGACATCTGTTGAGCTTATGTAGTATAGCTCTTCAGGTTGTATCAATGATCGAGATATTCCACAACTATGTACATATGTTACTGTATATAAATACTGCATACATATTAACCCCGATAACATGTACATGCTATAGAAAGAAGTTAACATCGTCGAATGGTACTAGCTGGAGGTTTGGGTTTAAAGGTGTTGGGTTCAGGGATTAAATTATGGCTATGGGGTTTGGCTTCGGAGTTTCGGGTTGGGGAATCAGGAGGTGGCTTGGATCCATATACTATTATAAATGTCAAACGACGTAGTACCATACAGGCTTTGGCCTATATGCCTTTCGATATCTATGCCTGCATACTTCTCTCCCTCCGTCTGGGTCTCTCTCTCACACTCTCACTCTCCCTCTCTCCCTCCCTCCTCCCTCACTCGCTCGCGTGATCACTTGCTCGCTCACACTTTTTCTGTGTGTCTCTCTCTCTCTCTCTCGCTCTCTCGCTGGCTCGCTCGCTCTCTCTCTCTCTCTCTCTCTCTCTCTCTCTCTCTCTCTCTCTCTCTCTCTCTCTCTCTCTCTCTCTCTCTCTCTCTCTCTCTCTCTCTCTCTCTCTCTCTCTCCATGTCCTATATGGATTGATATATGGATTCTGCTGGCACAAGACAAATACAAAACCTCCATTAAGCCGCACTAAGCCAAAAAAACTCCCAACACCTCCTCACCTCGGACAGCTTTTCGGTTTACCAGGGTTTATCTAGGGTTTGGGACCTATATAGGATGGTGGCACTGGACTTTAAAGGCTTGGGGGTTTAGGGCTTGTAAAGCTTTAGGGCTTTAGCACCTCGGGGTTATGATGTCCAAAGACCAGATCGAGTTCATGTTCGGGGACACATCCACAGGAGGCGAGGTTTATTTATTTATTATTTATTTATCTATTTAAGGCTGGGGCCAGGGTTTATAGATTGCGGCAAGTGAATTTGATAGCTCACATAACTATATGGTTCGAGCTCCAAAAACGATATAAGCCACCTGAAGACACCCGAAGGAAGCCCATATGGTCCAATAACATTGAGACTTCTATGCATCCCTGTAAATAACCATTATGTTGCTAAGCCACGGGCCTATGCATCATCGAAGCCGACCTTGATGAGCCCTTAACAGGTTTGCAGGTATAAAGCCAAGTTGCATTGCAGGGGAGCAGTTGTGACACGATGCAGCTGTAAGTGCGAGCTGGTTTCGGAGGAGAATACATATATGTAGTGAAGTGCACACACAGGCATAGGTTATGTTAAGATTGTTATTCAACCATTGAGACACACACGGGCTTAAGTAATAAGCATCATACTATATATATATATATATATATATGATCTACCAGCTACATGGATGTTGGGATAAGAACTTGAAGGCCATGTTTTGAAACCTTTGCATCCCATCCCTAAGTCGCGAAACCCAATTATAGAACCCTGCCTGGCACAGATCCGTCCAAGGATTCGCTGCTGGGCTGCTTCTGCAAAGCACTCTGCAGCTGGGCAATGCGTGCCCGGGCAGCCTCAACATACATGGATTGGTATGAGGGTATGCTATTTGTTCACCGGGTCATGCATAGGTAGTACAGTTGATTGCTTCGGCCTAATAAGATAAGTGACCGCGATCTTGGCCTGGAGATCGGTGGCCGGGGGTGCACTAGAATTCTCCATTTCGGCCAGCAAAGGGATGCCTGCAACTAAAGTTTCACACGACCAAAGCCTAGAGGCCATGTGTTGCCAGCTCCTGGCAAAAAGCTTGAGCAACTAGTACAGCCGAAAGGAAGTCACAGACACATATGCAGGTGGCAAAGGCATTTTCTACATCCTGTCGTGCAAATCATACGATATTTTTGTCTCCAAAAGCCGGTGCTTGCATACCCCTCGATTACGAATTGGGCTTGGCTTGGGCGATTCAGGGGCTTTCAGGCAAAAGCGCTCACGATATGTATATAAGTGCACGAGGACTTCGGGCAGTTCCTAAATATGCGCCCGTTTGCGCGAGAATGCGCCCGGATAGCGGGAATATGCGCCCGGAATGCGGGTTGGGTTTCTGCCCGATACCCCCTGGAAACCCAAAACAGCACGCAAAATAGTGAAAAGTGCTCAAGCCTCTCCTGTTGCCTCTAGGCAAGAGGAGATTGCTGCCAGCTCCTGGCGGAGCTCATCGGATCCCAGTGCCTCGGGGACCAGGGGTTTCCCTTCTAGTTGTCCTTGTAGACAAACCCTGGGGCTTGAGGCGCAGAGTTTCGGCCCTGGCCGGGCGGGGTTCTCCTAAGCCCTAGAAACGCCTGGCAAATTGTGTCTGAACCCAGTCGGAAACCCCAAGCCCGAAATCATGTCTATAGGCACAATACTGTAAAACCTATTGTATATATATGGACTTCGAACCCCAGCCCGGGTCCCCAAATCCATATATATTCCATTAATCTATTAATGCACAAGCTAGGAATCACTTGGCCCCCAAGCCCTCTATGGTTCGGGGGAAGGAAGTCGAACTTCGGGTTTAGGTTTATTATATATAAAGTCTAGGGAGGTTATAGGGTTTATAATAAGAGGTTTAGGGTTTTAGGGCTCGTGGGTTTGATTTGTCATATATAGTGTTCGGGGTTTAGGAATCTCGGGTTTGAGATCTGTGTATATATATATATAGAGAGAGAGACACACACACATACATATGCATATGTATACATGTATGTATGTATGTATGTATGTATGTATGTATATGTACATGTATGTGCATGTGCATGCACCATGTACACGTACACAGGTGGATGTGTATGTATGTGTGTATGCTGTGTGCATGTACATGTATATGTATAGTACATATGGATGTATCATTTACGGATCTGTATGTTTAATGTGTCAGCAGACATATGTGCTATGTTTGTATGCATATATGTATATCCAAGTAGCAGGGTTCGGTTGGCGAGTGTGGTGCAGACTTGTTTCTGTGATCCGGTCGGTGCGTAGCAAATCGGGCAGTATGGGGTAGGGTTTCAAGGTTCCTAGAGTAATTGCGGGAGTATTGATCACGTCGGGCTTGGAAGGTGCGTGCATCTTGTAAGAATCTAGCTCTAGGGCTGATGGGCATTTTGTTGAGATTGGATGCACCCAGGACACATTGCACCGGACCTCCTCGTGGAACTTCTGCATCGCCTCCAGCCAGCTGTCGGGAATCCTCGGAACGAGGACTATGGTTTTGGGCACACGGTATACATATTATACACTGTAAATTGATGTTCTCACATGCATTCAGGGCAAGATTCTGGCAATCCTTGCATCCATAGAGGTACAAGAAGACTTTGTGGATGCTTGAGTCCAACCAAAGGTCTCCGGTGGCCATCTCTTGGAACAGCTCCCGATCTGTACGTTTTGAATCTACAGATCTTCGAGTTCGGAGATCCCCCCGTTCTGAAGAAGGTTTGAGGCACCACTCCTTGTATGCCGAAAGCATGTTCTTGGCAAACTCGACCGTGAAGATCCTTGAGAGTTCTGTCAAAATGGATTACCCGGGTGATTTGAATATACACACACATAAGACTGCTGCTGCAGGACACTTATTGCTGCCTAGCCACCCGGACTTCTTCAAGTTTTCATTCGATCCTGTGAATCGTTTCTTGCCGGCTTTGTCCACATGCCTGCCTCACCGGGAAGGCTAGCTGCATAATCAAGTCTTATCTTGTACTGATTAATGATGTCAAAGGTACGAACCGTCTTCAGCGTAGTTTTTGCAAGCCGGATTGTCTTGGTGAGTTTGCCACGGTGTAGCGTAGCAATCGTAGCCATGGGGCTGTACACAGTGGTCGGTTTCGGGCTTGGGGCACCATGTAGCATCATCCAGAAATTGCATGTGAAGACCTCGGATACTCGATAAGCTTTGCACAAGCCTACCCGGAGCAAGCCTCACTTTAGTGCGACTCAGAAGCCACAGCAACTCGGTTGACAAGCCACTCCCATCTACTGTGGCGGAACAATAATGATCCTGTGGGCTGCTCAACCACAAACGTTGTCTGTTTGGCCAACATGACCAGTATCAGCAAAACCATCCTCAGCATGTAAAGCTTCACAACGACACAGCATTATAGCAATAGGCAGAGAACACAAAGGTGTAGATGCGACCCAGCTTCCTGGAAATCAGAACATTGTTCTGGGCAACCCAGCTTCTGTGTGCAAACCCATTGGCATTTATGTAAGAGCGGCCAGAAACCGATCGGGCCGGCATGCCCCATGAACCACAGTCTGGGCCAATCACATTCAAGGCGTCCGGGGTCTCGTTCAAAACCGTCCATAAAGCCAGACTGGGATGTGGGATCGGTTTGCTAGATATAAACAATCGTAGTATATAACGACAAACCTGGTTTAGAGGAGAAGCTCGAAGCCACCGTTAGACGTGAAGTCCATTTGCGGGCCCCGGAGCTTATCGTAGGATGCCACCGAATAGCCTTCAGCAGCCCTGACAGGTTTCAGATAAATACGATACGTGTTTCTATGTACTGCCATACATTAATTAAGTCGGGCCACCAGGTCTTGCCCATATTGCCTTCCCCACAGAAGATGTCGAAAAGCTGGAACCGTGGCTCAAACGTCAGAGATGATATCCACCGAAGCAAAAGGACCTCACAGCCCCAAGTTATACCCCAACCCAGACACAAACCAACTCATAACACAACCGACACAGCGGCGACAAATATAGGCTCCGGACGGTGCCAATCAGAACCTTGCCCATGTAACTGGACTGAGGATTCGGAGTTGCATGGACGACAAATGCAAGATCACTGGCTATGGATGATCGAGGTACCTTCGGAGCACCCAGCTGCATCAGATTAAGAACGATGGACTGATCCATCGCAGACATAGGAACCAGGGGTTCAGGTCAGGGTGTACAGTTTAGGGTTCCATAGGGTTTAGGGCCGGGTTTAGGGTTCAGTATTTATAGGGCTTATAGGATCGGAGGATTAGGTTTCAGGCTACATTCGTGCTTCAGGCTGTATATAGGAAAATGTCCATAGGGCAGATATTTCGCGGGTTTGGGCTCCATATATAGGATTGAGGTTTCCAGAACACAGCAAGGGATGTGTGTCGGTATGATCACTGACGGGGTAGATCACTCCAAAAGCTTGAGTAGAAGGCACATAAAATCATGCAGCCGACATCAGCAGAATCTGCAAGAGCAGCCAAAGATCGAGCAGAGCCATGATGGCACATGAACTGTCGACCTGCAGCTAGTACATGCACACAGAAAATCAGACGGCAAGAGGGGCGCACCTTGGATGCGTTCGCGAACTTGCCACCCCTGAGCTGGAAATTGAGGTTGATGTCGTGGCATCCTGGCAGTGTGTATGATATGCTTGCTAGATTGAATCTGAAGGCATGATCAATCACTTGATAGCTGGGCCAGAGCAGACACGATTGAGCGACATATTTTCACAGAGCTGCTTTCCGTGTTCGCACAGAGAGCACAGCTAAAGTTCATAGTGACATATCGTGTCAATCCCCTGATGCCTTTTGCATCATTAACCAGATCAGACACCACTCCAGCTGAGGTGGTATTCTGACCAACCCCAAAAGAACTGTAGCAACATGTAGATATTGCTCGTCCATCCCCGGGTGAAAAACCGCGGCTGCCGGCTGCTCACCAAAGACCATCCATAATAAAGCTTGATGTGTACACATAGCATGCGATCACTGGGTGTCCTGATATGCCTTAGATTTCACATCCAAGGCGGAGCCAATACAATATCATGAATTACAGACGACTGACAAACGGACCCCATGCAGATAGCTGAACAGGGAAGCCAACGAAATAACAAAGATCGATAGAGAAAGGCCGGCATAGGGATCCCCATAATCGATCAAGTTTACAGAAAGAATTGCCCCGAACTGCCAACCCCAAACACACCCACAACATTCTCTCTCTCTCTCTCTCTCTCTCTCTCTCTCTCTCTCTCTCTCTCTCTCTCTCTCTCTCTCTCTCTCTCTCTCTCTCTCTCTCTCTCTCTCTCTCTCTCTCTCTCTCTCTCTCTCTCTCTCTCTCTCTCTCTCTCTCTCTCTCCTATATATTATAGATAGAGAGAAAGAGAGAGAGAGAGAGAGAGAGAGAGAGAGAGAGAGAGAGAGAGAGAGAGAGAGAGAGAGAGAGAGTACTATGTATAATACATAGTCAAACATTTATTTAATCTGCATTCACCCACTCATCCTCGGAGCCCTTCGGGCGGGGTTCCGGTTTCGGGAGGTATACTTTGTAAAGCAGGTTTTCGCTGGTTGGTGAGGGAATTTATCTAGAGCAGATCGAATTGGATGTTTAGTGGCTGGGCTGGGGATTTCAATATAACATTATACAAGCCATCATGTGCAATATTCGTAATGACACACTGCTCCTTAACTGGGCAAGCATATATATATATATGTGTGTATGTTATTGCGTGTGTATGTACATGCATTAAATGTGTCCACATGCATATAGTGTTTGACTACACATACTATACCCTCTTCTCTTGCACTCTGCAGCTGCACCTGCCTACCCAGATACCCCCTTTCTAAAGGCAAGCAATTACAAACAAAGTCATGATACCTTCTTGGCCAGTGCAACAGCATCCTCCATGGACTTTCCCGCTCTCGTTGCCTCGAGCTTGGCCTTGTGGTAGGCCACACTCTTTCGACTCAAGCGGGCTCTTCGCTCCTGCTCCTCCGGTGTCCTCTGACTGGCATCAGCCTGACTCTTGCCTTTTGCTTTGGGTGCTGCCTTGGGTGTTGCCTTAGCCTTCGGGGCTGCCTTGGGTGTTGCCTTAGCCTTGGGGGCTGACTTGGGTGCCCGGGATTTTACATCCGTGCTCGCAGTTTCAGCGGGCTTCTCATCCTTCCCACCTTTGCTGCCTTTCTTGACTGGCCCCTTCTTGGTCGTACTTCCAGGCGTCTCGGCATCATCCTCCAGGCAGCGCTTGGCCGATGCCCCACGTGGGCTCACAACCTCCTTGTCCATATTCTTGCCTCGCCCTCGCCCACGACCGCGACCGCGGGCACCTGCAGCACTGCATGCACGACCGCCGCGAGAGCCACGGCCTCGACCTCGGCCACGACCTTTTGCAGCTCTGGTCTTCGTGCCGCCAGAGCTGTCAGCATCATCATCGTGATGATCCTCGTCATCGTGATGATCATCACCATCATCGTCTTCATCAGGCACGACGATTTTCTTTTTTCCCTTGCCCCGCCGATTCGGCTGAGCACCTGACACTTTCGTCTGCTCAGCAGGCGAGATTGCGGGTGCTTCATCCACAGGGAAGTCAGGCACCACCTCAGGGTTCATTAAGTGCACAGCATACACATTCATGCAGCACATATCTGAGAAATCTGTTACTTGCTCACCTGGCCTGCTCGGACGAAGCAGGCTTCTTGCTGGGGCTCTCATCAGCATGCCTACGCTTGCCGTCGGAAACCACAACCTTCTTATCGGAAGCCTTTGCAGCCTTCTTGTCATTGGCAATGCAGACACTGTTCTTCTTCTTGTTCTCGGAAGCCTTGGCTTTTGGTTTTTGTTGGTACACAGTTGCCACCCCAGGCTGCTACAGTACACCTCAACATTTTTCATCTGCGTATTAAGTATTGAACCAAGAAACAGGCTGCGAACCACAACCCTCACCAGAAGCCGAAGACTTGTTGTCGATGTCGATGGTCACCCCATACATCTGAGAATCCCTGCCGACTCCCTCGTCGATCTTGCTGGAAACAAGCTTCTCACTGGACTCCCCAACCCCGGTGTTGATCTCGCTGGAAACCCCAAGCTTCTCACTGGACTCGGACTCCCCAACCTTGCTGATCTCGGTGGAAACCCCAAGCTTCTCACTGGACTCCTCACCCTTGCAGATCTTGCTGGAAACCCCAAGCTTCTCACTGGACTCCCCAACCCCCGTGTTGATCTCGCTGGAAACCACACACTTCCCACTGGACTCCCCAACCGTGTTGATCTCGCTGGAAACCACAAGCTTCGCACTGAACTCCCCAACCTTGTTGATCTTGCTGGAAACCCCAAGCTTCTCACTGGACTCCCCAACCTTGTTGATCTCGCTGGAAACCACTGCAAGGTTCTCACTGGACTCCACAAGTTTGGCAGCCTCCGCCTGGACCAAGATAAGCTTAAGTCGGAACAAGCTGCATGGGGGGGGCAGACATAGTACTATATGAGTTTCGAGTGCCGGGTATATGTTCTGCAAAAAACTATCCTGCGGCCTGTGTTGAAGGGGCTTCTGGCAAAGCATCTCCGGTGATCATGTCTTCCCCATAGCCAAGCCATGTCGGACAGGTGTCCATATCATCCGTGCCTTAAATTAGGTCGATTAGCGACCATCGAGACATACAAAAGCTACAGTGTACTATGTACATGATATGATAACAAAATGAACAAAAGAAGACTTTAATTATGGATTCCATCTAGGCACCATACGGAAGGTTCTCGGGCACTATGCTGACCAGAGGTTCGGGAATCTTGCCGACACACATGGTTTCTGGTTCGAGCTGGCTGTGCGCTTGGGCTCGCCTTGGGTGGTTGGGCTCGGTGGGCTTCTGCTCAGGGCTGCTTTCATGGCTAAACTCCAGCTTCTTGGCAACTGCTGCCTCAGCCAAAGCCAAAGCTCGCTGCTCATTGAGCAGTCCTTGTAGAACAGCCTCCTCTGTCTGAAGCTGGTGAAGCAGCACCATCTGCTCAAGTTCAGCTTCCTGCCTTTGAAGCTCCATCAACTCCAAAGCGACCTTTCGGTCTTCCGTCTCTTGCAACCTGCGAAATTCCGACTCTGCACTAGCCACTGCAGCTGCATCCTGGGCAGCTTTCTCATCGCACGTGAGCACTGCAGGTTCAGGCTCCTTGTCAGCAGGCTCCGCCAAGCATGGCAACCTCTTAAGTTTATCCAAGTCTCCACACAATCCACAAATCAGGCACTCGACTCCAGCTGTCCGCTTGTCTCGAATGTTCTTGACTGTGTAGTGGAGCCCCTTCGATCTGCAATCCGACATAGGCGATAGTGGCTCACCTGCAGTGTTAAACCCTTTTCGAAACTCAGCAACACAATACAGATTATACATGCATTGCAAAGTACATGCACATGTACACCACATACCCACATGAGAAAGAGAGAGAGAGAGAGAGAGAGAGAGAGAGAGAGAGAGAGAGAGATAAACAGAATGAGTGAGTGAGAGAGAGTGATAATTCATAGAGCTCGAGAGAGAGAGAGAAGATACACCTGGGCATGTAAACCAAGGCACGTGGCGGCGGCGTCACGATCGTGGGGGTGCTGGCTGCGACACTGGAACCTTAAGTTGGATGGGTCCGGGTGTACATATATTCATTAGCGCAAACTCGATTCCGGATAGATATGCTGGCTAGTAGCCATCAGGCTCAGTCGGAGTGAGCGTGCGGGCAACACCAGCTTTTCCACTGGGGAGCTTTGGGGCACTTACAGAAGGCTTGGGTCTAGCAGCTGGTGGTTCAGGGCCGGGCGAAGACAAATGTCGCTTTGTTGATGGGGCCGGTCTCGATGCAACCATTGGAATGGAAAGGGTGTCATTGGGCTTGGCATCTGGAAGGCTCGGGTGCTTTGGGGCCGTTTCCACAGGAGGTCTGGACTTTGTCACCACAGCAGCCGTAGCGTCTCCCTCCTCACAAGTGAAAGGACCGAAGTCCCTTCAACCACACAAGCCCTGTAGCAGTGCCCCTCGTATAGGAACCATGAATAGTGCATGTAGACTGCATATATATATATATATATATATATATATATATATATGCACACACTCACACACATGTTCCGAACAAAATACAAACACCCATAAGCGCAAAACTTGATCGTGATAAAAGTTTCAACGGCTTGGTGGAGTACTATTATACCTGCGAACCATAGCTTATGATTGTAAGATACCCAACACACATCAGTCTATGCATATATTTGTCCATGTATGTATAGTTAGTTATTTTTGCATTTGTGAACACATATACAAGGACATGGGTATCTACATGTGTGTTTGTATGCTTGCGTGTATATATATATATATATATATATGTATACATCTATACAATATATTTTGTACACATGTGCAAGTATGTATAAGGCACATGCAAGCCCGTTCCTCCACCTCCATCTCAGGATCCTCCGACGAGGACGACTCACTCTCCGAGCTCTCACCTTCGTCTTCGTCCTCATCGGTGCTGCTCTCACCATCATTCGAGCCTTAACCGAAATTCGAGGCTACCCAGGATCGTGGTTGTAGTTCACACACTTAAATTGTGGCACATTAGCGATGCGGGCCAAGAGTCAGATGGTCAAGCCACACTCTTGCATCATGCACCGAAACTCGTGATTTCTCGGGGTGTGGGGCCTCTTCGCAGCCCGAGAGAAGATGGAAATGAGTCGTCGCACGACCCAGGCTTGGGTTTTGAGGGTTGTGCCTGGGCAAAGCACCGGGAATGAATATATATGCACAGCTTGTCGATCATGTACTTGCAACCACATCATAGACATGCCGTCAAGCAACTGTCGGGAATCTTGTGGTGTATTGGCCGATAGCCGGCATAGAGGCGCTGAAGGTACGAAGCGACCAAATCTACCGACGGTCGCATGCCTGGGATTTTCTGCGTGCATCTACATACGTGGTCTTGCTAGCAGATAATGATCCCAATCAATTGCAAGCGAGAAACCGACAAGATTCATGAGCGGCACCAACAAAGCTTTGTTAGCGGTACAGGTAGCCCTTGTAAGCTTCGAGTCACTGCTCAAGATCAGCACATTCTTCTGTGTCAACCTGTCGAGTACTGCTTTGCTCTCGGACCACGCAGCCAGCACTGGGCAGTGCGAAGAAGCCGTACTCCCTGCATCCGACATGGTGCCGGCTATCAGATCTCCCGAGATCGCACAGTCACTAGTACGTGAAACATGCATAATCAACAATCCCTTCGACCGAATCTGTAGTCTAGCGCTGCATGCACTGTACGTAGGTCTACTGCACATGTAGCATGCTTGGCAGCATGACGTGTACAGTGGCAACCGAGCCAGCCTGCAGATTTGCACACATATTAGAGGTACATCGCAGACAAGCAGCCACATATGACAGACTGCACATGTGCAGACACTTGCAGGAGCAGTGTAAGCGAGCCAGCAAAACAATCCCACCAGACTCCATGCAAGTAGGCACCATACATGCGGTTTAATTTCACGCATCTAAGGATCCTTTCCTGGCCACTGCTGTGGTCAATGCTGCCTGGGATGCTGCACAACATACACGTACTACTGCACACACGGGTTGGCGAATATACAATGGGAGGCTCATGATGCACACTTATGCAACAACATACGAGGGATGAGGGCCAAAATGGCTTGGAAAGCCTTGCCCGATGTGATGCCGAGCCCGCACAATTGCACCTGCAGCAGGCTAAATACCATAAAGTGCACGTGCCCCTCTGCTATAAACCCAAAAGCGCACGAGGTTTCCAATAAGCGCACGTGATTTAGGAACAAAACCATCAAAACCCAATAACTGTATCAAAACCCCTTCGGGCAGGAATAAGTGTTACGAACGATGGTCCAGGTAATCATCGCATGCAGGCATGCATCTTGCAAGGCCATAGTTTTTTAGCAGCAGGTAGTTTTTTCTTCTAGCTTTCTATAATTCGATGCAATCTAATTCAAAACAACGAGAACCGATGCAGACCGCTCAGGACGAAACAAGCATGGAGTTGCGAAGACCATGGTCAGAAGCGTCGTTGTGCACAGCTTCACTCTTTCTGCAGCCAGTTCTGCTCCAGACCCTGTGTAGCCTCGCCCCTGCAGTGCCTTGTACAGTATGCGGCAGCGTCAGGCTTGTCTGTACAACGCATAATATAAGATCTCTCCAGAATATATTCTTGTTCGAACTGGCAGGCGAGCCCCGACACCACGAGGCGTTCGTTGAGAGAACGTTCGCGGTCCCCCAGGGCGACGTTCGAATGGCGCTGGTGCTGGAAGAAAAGCATCGACCTGGGCGGTGCCGTCGTGTGGTGGTGGAAGTGGTTCAAGTATCCATTGGCCCGGGACCACACTTCGGCAGAAGCCAGCGAGCCGGCCGCGGCATCGTCGCGGGGCACGAAGCGGAGGTGCGAGAGGTCTGAGTCGGAGGACTCCGAGCAGTAGCTGCCAGTTTTTGCAATTGCTGTGCATTCGCGGCATGTCGCATGTCACAGCAGATGCACTGTATAGAGAGTCTGCTCAAATCGAATTTGCTTTCGCCACTGCCGTGGGACTGCATGCCCGTGAAAAGCGTGAGCCCTTCACAGCTGGAAGTAGTGCAAGCTTCGGCCTTCTTCTAATAAGCAGCCCGATACAGATCCCCGTCAGGGCTATATGCGGCCGTATTAGTTGGAAGCTGTGAGCTGGAGGGCAGTAGTGCTTGCCCTGTGTCTGCACGGCATCATGTCTATACTTTCTTGACAGGGAACCTATATATGTGGCTGCGTTGGTTCAAATACATGCAGGGAAATCCTTTAGGGCAGACCGCATCCCTCCCCGTACTGTCCGCGGCTGAAGGCCATGTCGAAGCAAGCTCGTGCGGTGCTCCAGGACGAAGGTCGTGCGGTGGACCTCTACTTCGGGAAAAACAAGGTAGGGTTCCATGGAGATTTCTATCTACACCCGAAACCCTACTAGCTTGCTGCATGAATATAAGATCTCCAGGCCCAGATGAGAATGATGACACTGAAGCATGCTTTCGCTTTGTCTGCGAATGCAACAGTCTGCGAGCACGTCGCCCTGCACGGTTGGGTTCACAAGGGCCTAGAGCCTGACGGACGTTTCCTGGACGCTGAAGCCCTGGTCCAAGGCAGAGTCGTGCAGTTGAGGAACTGCAAGCGAAGCCGCCACTGCAGCCCCAAGTCGCGGAAGACTCGCAGGCTCGGTGACAGCAGCTCCCCTGCAGACTCCAAGCAGCCCTCGGACACACCAGGGAAACTTTTGCGGAAGGAAGAGATGGCCATGCTAACACAGCGAAGTGTCAGCGACCAGCTCAACTGAGTTAGTACTTGTGTACAGAGCAAACGTGGTTTGACCCACGATCGATCGCAATAGCAGAGGAAAAAAAAAGCTTTGCTGCTCTTTGCAAGCGTTCCACATCACGATGTATATAATAATAAGAATAATAATAACTTGACCGCGTCTGAATGCTGCATACCTGCCTCCGGAGAACCAACTCAGCTCAAGAGGATGTAGCGTCCTGTTGCCTGCCGCCCATGGAAACCTCGAGGAAACGGAAGCGAGACGAGCTGCTTTGTCTTCCGAGCAGGTCTGAGTTCATTGAGCGGCTGCAGAGTATACGTGGGCTTACCGATGCCCACATCGAGAAAATTACAGCTGGCCTGGGCATGCCTGCAATCAAGCACGACACCGGCCTGAAGTATGAGAGAGAACAAGGATGCCTTCGGGACCTTCTGCTACCAGCAGCGAAGGGAGACCCGATAAGGATCCCTGTCATGAGCCTAGCTGCGTCATTGACTGAGAAGTGCCAGGCGAACAAAGCATTCGCAGACATTTTGTCTGCGGCTGTAAAAACGGCACCTGACGGCACCCTGGATGCCCTGGTGTATGTCGACGAAGCCGTCCCAGGCAACATTGTCCAACCAGACAGCCGCAGAAAAGCGTACCTCATGTACATTAGCTTCCTGCAGTTGGCCACGACGTTGCAGGCAGAGTACTCATGGACGACGGTGGGGTGCGTCAGGCATTCTCTAGTAAATGCAGCAGCTGGAGGCTTGGCCGGCGTCATGTGCGAATTCGTTGGCCGCCTGCAAGAGGAGCTCCAGGGTTTCGCAATCCAGGACAGCACGGGCTCGCCCGTTTTGGTGCGAGCCCAGAAGTTTTGGCTGCTCGCAGATGAAGCTGCTTTGAGAGGGACCATGGCGGCTAAAGGTTCTTCCGGGGTGCGGCCCTGCATAAAGTGCAGGAATGCTTGCAACGTCGGCTACAGCATCGACTCCTTGCATCCGATAACAGAGC